TTGCGTTGTCGCTGGTTGGTCTTGCCGGTCGTTGCATCGCCAGGCCACCGCCGCCCAGAAGCGTCTTGTGTGGGTCTCAGTGGACTTGGTTACGCTGTCGCTGGCCCTCCACCCAACACTCTGAACGCAGGCCGCCGCCGCGCCGGCAGCGGCGAGTTCCGGCTCCGACAGTGACTGAACTCTTGCGAGCTGGCAGTTCTTCCTGAAAAAACTTACCTTCTGTCTCGGCTTCCTGGTACTGGTCGTGCTGGTAGTAGTAGTGGTAGTATATAGTCGTACTGGTAGCAGTGCTAGAAGTAGTAGCAGGAGTCGTCGTCGTAGTAGTAGTACTCGTGGTAGTAGTAGTAGTAGTAGTAGTAGTAGTAGTAGTAGAGTAGTAGTAGTAGTAGTAGTAGTCGTAGTAGTCGTAGTAGTCGTCGTCGTAGTAGTAGTAGTTGTTGTTGTCCTCATAGTAGTGGTACTAGTAGTAGGCTGCCAGTAGTAGTCATGGTTCGAGTCGCAATCGCATGGTAGTCGTCTCTTGCTTCTTTTGGCTTCGGATCGGGCGTAAGCTGCGACGTCCGCACGGTCTCGGAGCCCGGCCGCCGGGGGGCAGTCAGAGTCCGGTTGATTGAGTTAGGGCCAGGGCCTGTAAGGACTCTGTACCTTGCCCAACTTTCTCCTCGCCTGGTGCTTTCTCGGAAAAAATGGTTGTGTCCGGGCATCTGCATGGTGCGACCGACACGGTGTATGCGCCCTCGTCAGGCTATGCTGGTCGACGTTGTGAAGAAGCTGCAGCCCACCTGTCGCTCAGACTCCTGAGCGGTCTTGGCGCTCAGGCAAACATGGCACATCACTCGAGACGCATTCCATTCTTTTGTCCGTCCACTGCAGCTTTAATTTAGCGCTCTCGCTGCAGCATTTAGCTCCTTTGCTGGTTTGTTTCGAGTTGCGTCCGTACCACGCCTCGGCTTGCCTTTCCACCAATCCTGTCAGCATGTCTCGCCTGTTGCTGCCAGGTACCTTCTGCTGCACTGTCGAGGTTCACAAGAAACGCGGCGACCGGCGCGCTGCCCTTACTTCGCCTTAGCCCAGGCCTCCGAGCGGCCGCCGCTCGCTTGTCATCTTTAGGTTCCGGCCCGGTGCAGACACTGGGTCTTCCCCTGCCTGGCGCTTGGCTGTCGCCGAGGTTGGACCCTCTGTGCGCGGGGTCCCGGCGGCCTCGGTTTCGCTGCAGCGCACTCCAAGTGCTGCACGCACGTCTCCAGGGCGTCTGCAAAAGCACGGCTGCTCTGGCATGGGTAGAGTTCTGCACTCTCCCGTACAGGTTGGCTGGTGTTTTTTCTGGCTTCGCTCGTGTCTTTCTACTGCCAGCCGACCTCTTGCCCTACTTTGTGGCCGCGCGTGGGATCGACCGAGCCGGCCCTGCGGGGTCCGCGCTCGCGTACGAGGCTTCTATCCGTGCGAGATTGCACGGTTGGCTGGTGCCACTGGTGCAGCAGGGCCTGGTCTGCCCATTGCTTTTGTCTACGGTGCGACGTCCGCACGTGGCCTGGCTGCCCTTCGTCGCCGACTTGCCGGCTGCTGCGCCGCCTCTGGAACTGCTTCGCGAGCGAGCTGGACGACTTGTCTGCGTTCGCTCTTCGTCTTGGCGTGCGGCGCAACGAGATCCTGACCCATCTTAATGGAGCTCGCCCCGACATTGTGGACGTTCTCCACGAGATCATGCCCTATATGCAAGAGCTACTATGTCTGCGTCAGGTGTGTTTTCGACGACCGCTGGCCTCTCTGGGTGTCCGGGTTCGATGTGGCTGGCCCCTTGCTGCGGTCGGCCACGCATGAGGCCGACTGCGTGGTATTCTTCCTGGTGCTTCTGCGTTTCGAAGGTTATCATGTGGTGCTGAGCTTCGCGGACGTGTCGCCTGCCGTGTGCACAAAAGCAGCCATGTTTAAAACTGCAGAAAAGTTCGCACAAAATGGCTTATGCCAAAACTGCACACGAGGTGCATTGCAGGCCCGGAGATTGCTTTTTCCCTATGGGAGAGCAAGGCACAAGCGATGAACGCACAAAAGCAACCATTTTTGACACGCAGAAAGTCCGAAAAAAATGGCTTATGCCAAAACAGCACCGACGGTGCATTGCAAGCCTGGAGCCTGCTTTTTCTGTGTCAGGTCCGGGGGGGGAGCCAGGCACAAGCGATAAGCGCACAAAAGCATCCATTTTGACACCGCAGAAAAGTTCGAAAAAAATGGCCTATGCCAAAACTGCACACGCGGTGCATTGCAGGCCTGGAGCTTGCTTTTCCGATGGGAGAGCAAGGCACAAGCGATGAACGCACAAGCAACCATTTTTGACACGCAGAAAGTGTGAAAAAAATGGTTTATGCAAAAACAGCACCGACGGTGCATTGCAAGCCTGGAGCTTGCTTCTCCTGTGGCAGGTCCTATTGGAGAGCTGCACTGGCACTCGCAGAAGCAGTGAAACCTCATTGAGCTTCCATCTGGTTAAGCACAGAGGCGTTTCAACGACAATAACAACAACGAGGATAACAAAGCCCAACAAGTCGAAATCACAGCCGTGTTTGTTACCTCCTAAGTCCCACTTGCTTAGCTCTGATACCAAGATTCCAGTCATCTTTCTTGCTTGCGTTGTCCACGCTCTGCACGCCTGCGGCGTTTAAGTCGAAACACACACACTCTATGCAACGCACCTGTGGCGTCCTGAAAACATGTCAGACCTTCAGTCCAACTGCTCACCTTGCAGGCATGCTTTTGGCGGTCATTGCCTTGATTGTCGCTGTGTTTGGCATCATTCATCCCATTCCACTAACTTTGATGCGTTCTGCCGGTTGTGAGAGGCACATACCTGTGCATTTACATTCCGTAGCATAAAACATACGTGACCTTTGGTTTTATACACTAACAAGCCGTGTAGTTGATTTCCTGAGCCCTCACGGGGCAGCCTCCGGGCATTCAGGTTTGACTTGTTTCGTGCGGGCACGAAGCAAGTCATCCTGCCGTACACCCTCTGGCCGCCTGACAGACAGCAAAACAACATGGAGTTCTGACACTCGCAAGTGAACCACACAAGCGGAATCTGGTCTTCAACAAGCGATCCTAAGTTTTTCTGAATCTGTGCTGCTTCTGCTGCTTCAGGTCTTTGCGTCGCATGATCAGCGCGGTCAGCTCTGCATGGAGGATGGCCTCCGAAGGCGGCCCAAATCTAGCATCGATTCTGATTGCTGAGTAAGTACCTCCACAGTAGAGACATGGCTCGATGTACGGAGAGAGTTGTGTGACACTATTGACGGAGAGAATTGTGTGACACTATTGTACTCCGCTTCTCTCGCGTCGAAGGCGTTGTGATTTGTTACTGGCTCGTGTACACATGAACCTTGAATTGCATCTTAACTGCTCAAAACGGCTTCGGGCAATGACCAGCGAAAGGCCGCAAGTGCGAAGGGTCGCCATGCACCTGCGTCTCTCAGTTGTGCAGTTAACCTATCCGATCAGAACTTTCATTCGATCTTGCGCATTGCTTTGCCTTGCCATTGCTATTGCTTTGATTGCTCGGTATCCGATTGGACCAAGAATGAAGCGGAATCCTGTGCTTTTCATCTGCTTTTCACACTTGAAAAAATTGGAAATATGTTTTTCCAGCACTTATTCCTTGAAACATTAAGAATCCGGAACCACCTATGAGAAGGTTTCATAGTTTAAGGTCGGAAAAGAAGCCTGCGCTCAAAAGCCGGATCCCTTTCAGCATGCTGGACAATGCCGCGCGGTGTGTGAGGTCTTTGGAAGCGTTTGGCCGCAGATCGCAAGATCGAGGTGGCGATCGTCAGCGGGGACGGTGTGTGTGTGTGTGTGTGAATGTGTGTGTGTGTGTGTGCGCGTGCTTCGTGTTTTTCCTTTCACGTGTATTTTGTTGCTTAGATTAGCTCTGCACTGTCCAATGTTGCACCGCCTTAGCGACTGGCTCAGACTTCGATTCCGAGCATACCGTGACTAAAAAGAGTGAGCGTCCTTGCTGCTTGGCTTTGAGCTGTAGACAGTCGCTAAGGAAGCTAAGCTTACAGAACGTGTGTGTGTGTGTGTGTTTGGTGGTAGCGTTGAAGTCGGGGTTTGGTCCGGATGCTTGCCGGGCAGCGTGCGTCCGCCATGCAAGCCGTTGGGAAGCCTGCGGGTCGGGGCTGCCAGCTGTCCTTGCACAGCGCGCCATGCCGGTGTTTCTGTTGAAACTATTGGACGGAAACCTCTTTGTCGGTTCCATGCTGTGCCGGAGTACTCAGGCCCGGGACCAGTACTGAGTCTTCTGCTCACAGCCTTCGCTTTGCGCGACCATCCGGCGCCCATCAGCATCCCACTAACATGGTGTCCTGGAGGCTGGCAAGAAAACATGCTTGTGACATAATGTCATACACGATCCGCGCAAACAAGGTCCGCTTCGTCACAAAGCTCGAGCGCCATCCTCACATGGCATTGGTACAGGCCCGTGCCTGCAGAGCGAATTGGTGCGGGCGCGTTGCTTGATGGAAAACGGGTGTCCATTGCTTGGCCAGGGCACACGAATGCACACGACACATTCGGCGGAACACATCGCCCGTTGCAATGCCTCGCACGCCGTCGTGTTTCCTGCGCCAAGCTCTGCTATAGACTGGCACAAAGGGCTGGTGCAATGTGAGGCGTTGTAGTTGCATGTGGCTGCGGACAGCCAAGTCTCGAGCCTGGATGCGAGAATGTCACCGTTTCGATTCCAAGTTGGGCACGTCTGATGCGGTTGGACGCTTATACATTGGTGGGAAGCACCTCGCCGTGAGCGGGCAGATGATGTTGGTGCCAAAAACAAACAAAGACCCATGCCATTGAGGTGGATATCGCAAGCCGGACGTGCGAGCGACCCTGGGTCCGGCTTCCAAGGAGGAGTCACAACTGAAAAGTGGTTGAGCACCTCATGACAGGTGCGTCTGGGCGCTATGAGCACGACGGGCAGGCGCAGAAGTCGCAGCAGAAAAACGTAGAGATACTTGGAGCTGTGCGCTAGGATGTTGTTGCGCAGAAGCAGGATGTAGGGCTTGCGGCAGCAGCAGGGCACGGAAGACTTCGGGCGCAAATCATGGCCTTTGCCTGCTGTGCGTGGCCTGGCTGCTGTCCCACTGCTTTATCGGGGCAGGCTCGTTGCCTGCGGTTCGTTCTGTCCCCACCGCACGGTGGAGCGGTGCATATCAGTGTGGCAGTCGAGGTTGTTCCATTTTAGTAGTGACTCGTCATGCATGTATACCGCATGCACATGAAGCAAAATGAAGTATGGCTTCGTTCCTCGGATTGCTTTGATGTCCGCCGCTGAGCCTACGACCACGCCGACTTAGGGGCGACCGACTCGGGACCTTGCCCGCAAGTGCAAACTGCTCCGGCACAACGTGAGGATGTGGAGCAGTCGTGCCAGGAAGCTAGGTTTCTTCGCTGCGAACGTGCATCTCGGAAGCAACGTGCGGTGTGCACGGAGCTGTCGGCGCTAAGAGTGCCGAAGGTTGTTGTCGGTCAGCACACCCGGGTTCTGCCACAATGTGGGAACAATTAACTTAAGCACATACCAACCTTCACATTTGCAGTTCATAGCATGGTTGTGATGACGCGAAAGGCTGTTCAGTGTCGAGTGACACGTTCTGTCTCAAAGGTAGAAAAAACATGCGTGACAACATGCGGCATATAATTTTTTTGTCCACGAGCGGTCCACAAGAGACTTGTACAGACGTGTGCGAAGATAGAACGACTACCACCAGCACAAGCGATCAACCAAGGTGGTGCAAGCCAGCTCCATACAACAAACGCGGCAAGTCCTAAACATGCTGCTATGGCCACCTTTACTCGTTCTGTTTGTCGTGGAGCGGGTGGCCAGGGGCTTGTATGGTCTTGTGCAAAGGCATGTCATGTTTCCCTGTTCTACGTTGCTGATGTTTGGCAAGATCCAAAACCATTCCAGGTCGATGCATGGGATGTGTATCGGGCCCAGCGGTCATCAGCAGGCACGAAGGATCCGGTATCACAAGATGTTCCGTGCTGGAGGAATGGGGCCTGGCAGCTTTGCATCGGCATGGTTTGTCGAAGCGCGATACTTACGTGTGAAGGGGAAGCACGGGGTGCACGTTGGCTAAGTATCCGGTGGTTTTGGGGCCACATCGCCAGCTTGTGCATCGGACACGGATTCGTTTGCAATGAGCTCGTGCAGCTGAAAGCATCGAGGTCGACCCCTCGACGTCTCCAGCGATCCGGATCGTTGTTCGGAGTTCGACAGGCGAAAGTCACGAGCTCAGGTTGTACCAGACAGTTGCCATTACAAATTCAGCCACGCAGACGACAAAGTAAACCGACCTCCAACTTCATTGCTGTGTGACATGGTGTCATTTGGGCTTCTTTAAGAGGTCGTGCTTTAACGGGATGTGGAAAGCGATTGCTTTGATCCCAATGTTTGCACTGTTTTTTTTGGAGGTTTGCCGTCGGCTCCGGCGCGCTTTGCCTCAGTCAGGTGCAGTCTGTGGACGATGTTTTGCCAAAGCAGCACTAAACGCCAGGGCGGGGTTTCAAGTAGTGTTGGTGGCATTGGTTGGCCTATGCGACGATTGTGCATGCGAAATCGTTCGTCAGCAATCGCGATGCCAAGCGATGCAAGCGGCAGGGGAGCTGCAAGCGGAAATGTTCGGAACGTGCTGATTGTCACCATGTGCAAACGTCCGGGCCTCGGCTAAAGCTTTTTGGCGTGTTTCTCAATAAGATGCTGGTCTTGACAGCCCTAGTCGGAGCAGAAGTTTATCTAAATTTATCCGCCACGAATGGACGACAGCAGTGGTGTGTGACTTTCTTTATCAGCACACACAACTGCGCTGAGGTACGTAAACGAAGAGGTATGCTACTTGAAGCCTCTTGCTTGCGAAGCGGAAGATCATTGGCTGCAGCCTCAGGGGCCAAGTCCACCGTTGGCCGGTTTGGTGCGTGGCCGATGCACCCTGCAGGTATGCAGATCAGGAGTATTTTGCCTTTGCCTGGCGCCCAATCACGTCTGCATATCAAGCAGTGTCCATTTGTGTGTTCATTTGGTAGTCCAATTCTGAATTCCACATGAGCCAGTCTTACCAATCGGAGAATACCAGTTTCAACTCGGAAAGCTTGTAACCTTTGCAGCTGTATGCAGGCTTCGGTTCGAGACCAGCCCCAGCTGGGGAAAACGTTTGATTGATCGCGCCACTTTCGGCTAGGACTTTTCTGCTTCTGTATGTCATGTAGGTAGGTTGAATTACGTAACGAGCTACAGTTGAGGGATTGTTCGGGTATCGAGAGACGACCAGGTCAAGTCAGAACGGACCGTGGGCTGCCCCGCAGAGAGCTCAGATGCACGCCGCCCTCATAAGAAGACGAAGCCTAATGATTCAATACTCCATCAGCATGTCCGTTTCTTTCCGATACCAGCTCTCATCGGCAGGCATAGGGATGTAATTGGAGCGCGAAAAAATGAGAGGTCAGCATGACGGACAGGATGGTGGCCATGCTTTGACTGTGCCATGCAAGTGACAAACTTGTTGCGTACTGTGCAGTACAGGATGGAGGAGGTTGCCTTGTCCCACGAACATCTCGAACTTTATTTCCCAAGCCCCGTACATCCTCGCTTGGAGTGTCCGAATTACGAGTCCCAGACCTTCTGTTGCGAAGCCGTGAACCGCTTCAAATGCTTCACGGTGAATGCAATGGAGGAAAGCTAACCGTGTGTTTTTCATCCGACGGCTGTGCTTGTCAACCACTGAACCCGAAGCTTGAGCCATCCGAAACCTTCAAACAAACCGTGTCAAGTCCCAAATCCCATAGCAGCGAAATCCCCAAGCAGAAGCCTCAAATCAAAGCTCGCGAGGCTTTGAAACCCAACACTTCCGCATATCCGAGAATCCTAAAGGCGTAGGCCCTGAACCCAAAAGCGCCGAGTCCGGCCAGGAGCAACCGCTTTCCATTCCTCCGAGCACCTTGGCGACCACGGCCGCCCCCGTGATGAAGCCGGATGGAGAAGAGTGGGGAGCCCGAGACCGGATAGGGTTTTCAGGAATTTTCGGGAAATTGAAGGGCTCAAAGTAGCAAGTCCCAGCCAGCTGCAGGAAGAGTTTAAGGGTTTGAGCCGGTGTGGGGGTTTGCAAAAAGCTTAGGTTCAGGTAAACAAGCGAGGTCAAAGGGCATTCGCAACCACACCGTTTTGTCCCCTTCGCTAACAGAAACCCGGCTCACATGGCAGTTGAAAACCGAGACGTTGAGAATCTGCTTGCTCCGCAAAACCAGGCGTTTTTCACGAGAATCTGCAAAATCTTACGTGCAGAGCTGAAAACAGCCACACGTCCACCTCAATAAAGCTTGCGGTCTCGGATGAAGGGAGACAGGACCAATTGCCCCTGATTGTCGCAAGAAAAAGAGTATCCATTTATATGCAATTCCATTTGTGTTTTGTATCTACCTGCACTCAAATTCCATTCATCACTGTGCATTTATGTGCTTGTTCGTTGGTCTATATGTTTGCTCATGTGTTTCTATATTTGTGTAAACCTTTTTGCCCCGGAGCTTTTCTCACTGCCGTGGTCTGCTCCCATTGCGAGGTCTTGTTCTAAGGCCGGTCAGTCATCGCAGCGGGAGCCGGCTGACGGAGTCGGCAGGTGCGCGTGCCAGAACTTCGTCCAAGGCTGGCACCCGACTCTGCGCGGGCCCGGGCACAGCGTGTGCTCGGCCTATTGTGGCCAATCGCCTGCTGCACTGCCGTGGAGAGCACACTCCACCAGCGTCTCGCCCAGGCTGCTCGGGCCGGCCGGTGAGGCCCGGCAGGAGCACAGCGCAACCAGGCGCCGCACAAGCGACATTGCTGAGGCGTTTCAACGTCCGCCAATTTCACATCCGAGCACGCAATGGGACTGAGCGCCCCCTTGGGCGAGTTCGGGGTGGGTGGCTCGTTTGCGACGCTCTGCCACTTGCAACACGGCCCCATCCTGAGAAGAGGCCCCAGCATGTGGAGTACCATTCCGACAAGGCAGCATGCCATCGCAACAGATGGCGTCGTCCCATAAACCACACGGTCGAGCCGACGGCGGTCATCTGAAGCGATGCCAGGCACGGTGGTGTGTGCGAGCCATTGCTGGGGCACCACATGCGCTTTCGGACCAACGGTTTCACGGGCGACTCGGCACCACGCCCTCTCGACGGCACCCAGGGGTTGGTCACCAAGTGCGTGCAGCTAGGCGCGAGAGTGTTATCTGCATGACGTCCGGCGAGCGACGTGTGAGGGTCGCTCGGGATGGCCGTCAACCAAGCTCCTGCATGCGGCTTGCGAGGGCAGCACCGTACGGGAGGCCGGACGCAGTGAGGGCGACAGCACGTGAAAAGGTTGCGAGACGCGACGCACGGCGCTGCCATCCATGTCTCCACTCACCAAGCTTGATGTTGCGTCATCCTCCGCGCGGTGTGGCCCCGCTGGGGGGGGGGGGCTCGCTCCAGCCTTCGGCCACAAGCAGTGAGCTGCTGTTGGCCGCCGCCTGCAACAATCAGGGGCGTGCTCAATGGACAGGGCTCGCACTGTCCATGCGGCAAAGGCAGGGTTGCGTGCGGCGAAGACCGGGAGCGCATCAGCCCAAGCTGCCCAGTAAGCCGAAGGGGCAGTGCGAACCGCTTGCGAGGCCAAGACTTAGGCGGGAAGGAGGGCGATGGGAAGGAGGGCGATGTCTCGCGCAGGGCAGGCAACGTCATCGGCAGGCTCGCCCAAACATACTTGCAGAGTGCCGCATACAGCCACATCATGCGCCGCGGTATATGCCCTGCTGAGTGTTGGGGGGATCGTCGTGCGGAGCACATGGTTGGCACGGGGTGCAGCACAGCAGCGCAGGAGGAGCCATGCAACTCGGGCATTTGCGGCCAATTGTTGCAAAAGGGCTTCCTCCATTTCAAGGCGGTCCGTGCCCCATGCCTGTGTGTACTCAGCCGTGCCGATGGGGCTGCCCAAGGCGATGAACCCATGCTCCGCCAACGGCTTGTCGCCGCGCCACACGTCAGGGCCCAGCTCAGCCCCCGATTGGCGGCAATGCCTGTGTGCGCCTCGACGCACCCGGTCACCAAATCAATGGCCTCTCGGGCGCGAGCGGGGTCCAGCAGCACAATGTAAAGGTCGTCCAGGAAAGCCATGAGGGCTTCACCTTCAACACGGAAAGCCGCATTGGTCCGCTGCAGACCATCACACGAACAATGCGGGCGTGACGGGCGCCGTCCCCATCCCACCAACTGTATACTCAGAGGCTTGGCCATAGAACAGACGCACGAACGGCACGAGCGCCGGCGCGACGTCCTTTAATTTAAACTGCGCGGGAGATGCAGTCGAACGCGCAGTCAGCGCGTCGACCCCGCGGCCTTGGTACGCAGGGCGTACTGGAATGGCCGCGTGGCCTCATCGAACATGGGCGTCAAGGCGGCTGCGAGCGTCCGGGAAACTAGGCGGCGGAACGTGTCGCCGGTGGCAAGCCTCGGACCCCACCGCCCGGTTTTTTGAAGGGCCGTCATGCCGAAGCGCGGCCAGGCTACGCTCGAGCGCGCGATGGACACCTGCATGCAAGAAGACTGGGACATCCTGCAACGCAGTTCGTCCGCAAGGTCCATGTCATCCAAAGTTTCCTCCAGGCTGGGACTTCTGACTCAGATGCGGCAGGGGACGTGGGCGTGCAGCTGAAGCCGGGTTCGTCGCCGCGCGTCTCTTGCTGCGTCTATGTCGTGACGGTCCGTGTGGCGGCCCAGGGTCACCGAGAGAAGCGGCCCTGATGGTCTCCACGAGAGCTGCCGCATCCGCTGCCTGGGCGAGCGCCGGTGTGTAGCCCGCGTGGTCACAGACAGACGACAAGGCTGCCGAGAAGGTTGTCGCGGGCCTCACCGGCATGACGCAGTGCGCGGCAAAGCGATTCCGCGCGCTCCGCTCTGTCCACGTCGCCCTCCATGGCAGCAAGCGCGTGGAACGCCGCCAGTAGCCTGTCGGCGGGCCACGGGGCTGCATTAGCCAGCGGTCGCACGAGTCGGACCCAACGTTCACCACACGAAGGATGCGAAACCCACTGGCGCAGTTACCTCCGAGGACTGCGTGCCTGCGGCCGCGTGCAGCAGAGGCATGTACAGCCACGAGTTCCGGTCATGCGAGCGGGGGTCCTCAGGGGGGCCTGCTCGCTGTTCCGACGGCTCGCAAAAGCATGTTAGGTTGGTCTTGTAGAGGCGCAGGTTGAAGGCGAATATCCGGGTGTGATATCCCCAGCCACCACTGCGCCCAGCATCTCACCTGCCAGTCACGTGCCTGTCATGGACAGCTGTGAGCGCGTGTGCGGCGCCGGGGTCGCGAGGTCATTGTTTGCGTCCAGCCAGGTGGGGGTCACGCCATCACTGTCACCTCTTGGTGTCGCAAGGGGCGTGTGCACACTCAGCGTGTCAGGAATGCTTATACTGCCTCAGATGTAGGTGGGACAGGGGCGAGCCCGGCCGCTCATCCAGGTCGGCTGGCCGGCGCGAGTGCTCGCAACACGGTGACGACATTGCACGGCATTGTCCTGGTCCTCCGCGGGGCCCGGGTTCGCTGCCTCTCCTACGCTGCCAACCTAAAGCAGGCATGCACGGTGCATCCTTTTTCTTTGGCTCCTGGCATAGGGGCTCGCTTGTCATGAGCATTCGGCACATTAAAAACTCTTTGCGATGTAGCCGTGGCCGCCAACAGTGGCAGCCGCGGCTTGCATGCCTTGTAGAAACTGCATGGCCGCAGCAGCTGCATCCGCAGCTGCTCTGGCCGCCTCGCGTGCCCATCACCGCCTCGTTGCTCTCGCCTGCGGTCTTCTTGGCACGAGAACGGTGCTTGCCCGACTTGCGCCTGCCCTTCTGTGAAAGTGATGAAGCCAGCCCGTCCGCCGCACCTTGCTGCTGCCGCCGTATGGCACGGAGGGAGCGCCCGCCCTTGCATTATAGAGCTTGCACCCTTCGGAAGTGGGCACATGGGTCACAGAGACCGCCCTCCCCCACAAGGTCGCGGAAGCGGCAGATAGATCCTGCACTGAGCCATGGGGCACAGGGAGCGGCTCTTTTTCGGGCCGCCCCGCCCCCCTTTCCCAAACCAGTGGGCAACCCCCCGTGCCACAGGGCTCTCCTGGCAGTGGTGCGCATGCCCCGGCCGGTAAGCTCGCGCGCCTGACGTGTGGTTCGGCCGCCTTTCGCAAGATGCTGCAAAGCATGTCGTTCGGGGACACTGCCAGTTCGGCAGGTTCCTGTTCGCCTCCTGCCGCCACAAAGGCCAGCAGTTCCGACGCCGCTACCATCCAAGATGGCGCGCGCACCAGGAGCAAACGAGCCCATAAGGAGGCCACCACCAGCACGCTCAGCAGGAGCCCATCAACACACCGCCAGCCCCAGCACAAGCAGCACGGCCCCCATCCCGGCACAAAGTAGCGGGGCGCTCCAACGAGGCAGGTCAGCGCTGCGTGCACGGCAGCTTCTCGCGACAAGTTGCAGGCAAGTGCACGATTGTGCGCAACGACTCGGTCGCTGCATGTATAGCCCCCATCGGAACGCGGCCCCGCGACGAGGCTCGCCCCCCATGTCGAGGCAGGTGCGCAACAACTAGCGACCCCCCGGACAACACCCTCGAGTGGCCAACACTTGAGCCTGAGCCAAAATGGCTCGTACGTTTTTATCCATGGGTGTATTTTTGCTTATCCATCTACTTGCGCCAACACAGGAACTACCTATTTGTATATTTCTCCGTGTACCCATTCATGATCGTATACATACATATCTGTATGCATGTGCGGATGTACGTAAAGACTTACGTTGTAGATGCGCACACGTATACATGTGCTTCTGCATAGGCACATGCATATACATATTTGCGTGTACACGTACATGTACATGTTCACATACATGCATTTAAAGCGATGGGCGACTGCACTCCGAGTACTCGCGCATACGCTGGAGTATGCTCGCGTATGCTCGAGTACGCTCGAGTATGCTCGAGTACGCTCGAGTGTGCTCGAGTATGCTCGAGCATGCTCGAGTACGCTCGAGTTTGCTCGAGTATGTTCGGGTATTTTTTGCGGCTACGCGGACCGCCCCCTGGTGGAGATCACCTTGGCAGCTGTGGAGGCCTGTCTGCTCCACGGGCCCGCGAGGAGTCCGCAGGGCTCGGCGCTTCAGGCGCCAGTGAAAGGAGGCAGAGGTTGGCTATGGAGTTGTGGGATTCTTTGTATTGCGATTGGCATTGTGACTGGCGGGTTTTCCTTTTCCATGAAGCCAGATGGTGACCAGCTCGCGAAGGCTGGGGCGCAACAGAGTGATCGTTGCATGGAGTTGTATGCCTTGCAATGGGTCGCCGATGGGAGCAACCAGAAACTTTTCGATGCCACTGCCTGCTTTGAGAGTTTTCGGTGCATGAACGTTAGGGCTTTTCTCTTTCCAGCTGTCCATGTTTTTTGCTGGTGGCGGCACAGGCCGCATTCAGGCCTTTTGGGCGTCCGCATAGGCGAGGCGGCCAACCCAGGACCGGGTGCAGCTTCGGCGACGGCGAGCCGCGGGCGGGAACAGATGACACAGGATGCACTGCAGACTATCGTTCAGCTTCTCCTTTCAATGATTACAGTACTCGCTGGGGAGAACCTGGCGATAAAGTCACAGTTGGCGGGCATCCAAACATTGATGAAAAATATGACGGGCGGGTTTGCTGATGAAGTTGAGCCCCCAGTCAGACGGGTGTCTTTTGACGATACTGCTGGTCAGTCTGGCAATGATGGGTTTCAGATGGTGTCAAGGCGCCGGCCGCGCAAGAACCAGAGTCCTGCTGAAGCGGAGACCACAAAAGGAGGCGGGAAAACCAAAAGCTTCGCTGATGTTGTCGGCGCTGGCTTGTCTACTGGCAAGGGCAAGGGCAAGGGAGTTCCCCAACCGCCCAAAGGACAGGGAAAGGCTGCCAAAGCCCCGGCCGGGTGCTTTCGCTCGGCCTCAGCTTCGTGACCGTGACTGGAATGGTGCCAACCTCTCGTACGACAAGGCATCGTCCCAGCTGAAACAGCTTGAGTGGCTCCGTGTTGGTTCATGTCCGAGATGCGGAACAGGCCGATGCGCTGATGATGATGCTCACTGGTGCCAGCGCCAAGTGCTCTGCAAGATTGGTTTGGGCGGATTCGGATGGCAAGTTGAAGCTGAGAGCAAGGATGGCAAGGATGTTCGCATTCACCATTTTGCCTGCGTTGATTTTCCCACGCCAGGCACGCCGCTGCCCACCTTCAAGTTCAGCATGCGCCCACGGCTGCCAAAGCTGTTCCCGCCGGTGAAGCCACCACCACCGTGCGCATTGTCTTCGGCAAGCTTTTCTTGGAGGAGTCTGACTGGACCAGGGCGTCCTCCGCGCCCAAGGCTGCCGTCCAGAGATGGGTGCGTGGCACGCTCAAGGCCGAGTTGCACGGTGCTGTCAAGGACGCTTGGGGCTTCGCTCAGGAGACTCGGCTGGGAAATCCGGCCGTGGTGGGCTTGATCCACGTGCCGGTCAAAGTGGTGGAGACGCTCCTTGGCTCTTCGGGTGATGGCGGCGTCTTCCTGGAGCCCGCAGGGCGAGAGCACAACGTGAACTGCATGATTGAGTGGGTCGAGGCTCAGGAGAAGGAGGCTTGGCCGGCAATGCTCAAGCGCGCGCTTGAAGCTGCGCCTCGCTACGGTGCCTTTCTTGGCAAGCGCCAAATCGGTTTGTGCACAGAGGCTGGCACGGCTCCTGTCAAGGGCTTTGTTCGTTACTTTACGATGCAAGGCACGCCAGTTGAATGGAGTGACGGCGTCGTCGCTGAGCTCGTCAAGGAGCAGAACGGCATCGAGGAGGCTGCGGTCGTCAAGAAGACATTGAGAAAAGGAAGGGCTCACTGGCCGTGACCGGGGCCGTTTCTGCCTACACGGAGGGTGACTTGGACCTCGACCTCGACCTTCCTGCGGAGGGCTCTGGCGACACCTCCAAGGCATCGAAGCAGCGCAAGGCCAAGCTGGGATGGAAGTGCCAGAATGTGGATGGTGCACGGGCCCAGTCAAGCACTGGGTCCAAAAGAAGCAAAGGCACATCGACAACTTTCACGTGGACCTGAAGGCGGAGCTCAACCTCAAGACCAAGTCTCTCGTTTTGGTGCCGTACAACCGTGACACTTGTGTTTGGAAGTGTCCAGTTGCAGGCTGCGGGCTGGGCATCTCTGCCACAGAGACTGAACCGGACGCTCGTCTTCGTGCTCGCAAACACCATGGCGACACTTACCACCCGGATGAGCCCAAGGACCTTTTTCTGCTGGAGCGTGGCACCGTGGAGGGCGCAAAGAAGGCTACGACCGCGAAGCTGGCGGCTGGTGTGGCGAAGCGACTGCACCAACTAAAAGCTGGCAAGGCTGGAGACCACGACGTAAGGGCACGCACAGGCTTGAGGACGGCGCCTACACGGGCAGACTTTTGGATTTTGGGCTTTCTTCGGCGCGCTTAGCTGTTTCAGGCCGGGCCCAACAGCTTGGTCCTGCAGACCACGACCTCGTGACCTACGACGTCCAACTACGCAGTGGACGACGAGGCGGGTGGCGGTGGCAGGCTCAGCAAGGCTCGCTCTCGACAAAGAAACTGTGGACTGGCAGCTACACTGAGCCGGGCAAGAGGCTTCTTTCAGGCGGGCTTTGGCAGAGGCAGACACTGAGACAGCCTGGCGCTTACTCTCTGCTGCTGCTGAGGCTTCCCTGGCGGTTGAGACTGCTCCTGCTGCCAAGCCTCGCGGCGCTCCAGGCAGGCCCTACCTTGCAGAGGTTCACTTCGGCAAGACTGCCTCTGTTCAGACTCTTCGTGAAAGGAAGCTTCGCAGGGCCGCTTGTCGGGTTGCTGCTGCGATGGAGGGTGGCGACAACGCAGGCGAGGCCAAGCTGAACTGCTACCCGCAGCACTTGGCGGACGTCTACTCTGACCTCGGTGAAGTGGTGCGGCTACAAGGCCCTGCACTCCTGACCTTTCTTCAGGAGAAAGCTGCTGAGGAGGAGAAGCGTGCGAACCGCGCAAGGCTGGACAAGTGGGCCGGGACGTGCAGACTGACGTGCCAAGGCTGGCGCGCTGGGTCAAGGCTTCCTGCGCTGAGAAGCCCACGTCCTTCGAGGACTTTGCTGCCGACCCGGACCTGCAGGCCAAAGTTGAGGCAGCCGCCGTGGAATGGCAACACTTGTGGAGCCGTCACAGGCGGCACGGCGTGGCCCTTCGCCAACTGTTGACCGAGCTGCAGCTGGACAGGGCTGGGCACAGAGCTCCGCCCCTTCGCTTGGAGGGCCACGCTTTGCTTCGCCGGGCTCGGGCTACTGCAAAGAGGGCCCCTGGCTGCGACGGGTGGGCCGGCAAGCATTGGAATCGGCTTCCTGAGCAGTTCTTTCACTCGCTGAGGTGTGGAACAGCATTTTGGACGGAGCATCAATTCCTGCTGCTTGGACTCAGGTCAGGATCTGTTTGATCCGCAAAGGGGACGGCGGACTTCGTCCGCTAGCAATTGCAGCACTTGCTTGGCGTCTCGGAGCTGCTTGCTTGGTACAGTTGCTTGGAGACTGGATTCGTCGGGTGTTCCCCGAGGAGCTCTACGGCGGCTTGCCTGGCAAAAGCGTCGACGACGTGCACGCGGAGCTCACCCACGACCTCTACGTGCAGCGTGGCGGTGGGCCTCTGGCTGGTTGCAAGGCTGACGTCAGGAAGTGTTTTGACGGCGCTTCCCCTTACCTGGCGGTCGACTGCCTTCGGGCGCTCGGGGCTCCACAGGCTCTTCTGGACGTAATCTGCCGCTTCTACGCGCAGCACGAGCGCTGGCTCATGGTGGATGGCGTTTCAACGCAGCGGCCCCTGCTTGACTGCCACGCTTTGCTACAAGGGTGTCCCCTGAGTCCGCTGTGCCTCAACGCCATGATGGTCGTCTGGCTCAAGACGGTGCAGCGCGAGGACACGGGCGTCAAGCTGGCCACTTTCATTGATGATAGGACGCTGTGGCTGCGCAAACGCCGGGGGGCGGCCAGAGCCATCCAAAGGGCCATGGCTGCGGGCGCCGTCGCTGACCAGGCGCTGGGCTTCACTTTGCACCCGGAAAAGCTGGAAAGTTTTGGCACTACTCAGAAAGTCTGCGAATCCCTTCATGAGTTTTCTGACACGGTGGGTGTGCCTCAGTTCACTTTCAAACTGCTGGGAATCCCGTACAACACCTCGCGCGCGGCGCCCGTTGCTACCGAGGGCATCGCGCCAAGCTTGCAGGCGAGGTGCAAGCGGATTCAGATGTTCGGCACCAGTCGTGGGCTCCGTTGTGCTCTCCTTCGGAAACTGGTTGTTTCGCTTTTTAGGTGGGCTGCGCCTTGGCTCAGGCAACTTGGAAGGGCGCCATCGAGCGCGCAGCGTGGGGTGGCAGCATCCCTCGCGGACGGTCTGCTGCACTGGCGTGGTTGGGCGTTGTCGGCTTGGACCTGCTTCCAGAGTACGTGTGCGCAGAGACGGCCATCGTGCGCGAGCATCGCAGGCTTCACGTGCAGCGTCACCGCGAAGAGGCCACCTACACGGCTGCCGCTTTCAGGGCAGCGGGCTGGCAGCGAGGAGCTGGCGACATCTGGACCACGAGGCATGGCAGTTTTCGGGCGGGCACTGTGAGCGCTGCAGGCCTCCGTCGTCAGCTTCGTCTTGCCTGGGCCCGCAAGTTGCTGCTGGCGGACCCGAAGACTAAGGAGGCGGGTGGCTTCGCTGGAGACTTTGATCTGGCTCACCACGTTGCGGTCGGCGCCCCCGTTGAAGGCTACAAGGCGAGGGTCATGGCTGGTGCTGCTGCCGACGCTAGACACTTGACCAAGAAGGGCGAGGACGTGGCTCAGTGGAAGTGCAGCTGTGGTTTTGCTGGTCCCTCACGAACCCACCTCACGTTCCACTGCCCCCTGCGTGAGTGGACGCTGCCGGCGCGCTCTACTCTGGAACAGCGGCTTTTGCTGGCGTTGGGGCCTGCTCCTCCTCGTTGGCCTGTGGCGGACTACGACGGGGAGTTCAGAAGGGTGGCGGGGCACCTGGCGGTGCTGGCTGAGTACGAGGTGCACTACGTCGCGACTGACGGGGGCTGTTTGCTGGCTCGTGGCGCGGACTTTCAGCAGCGGGCTGCTTGGGCAGTCTCTTTTGGCGGCGCAACTTTCAGTGGACTGGTGCAGGGCCCGGAGCAGACTGCTGCTGAAGGCGAAAGAGTGGCAGTCTACGTCTTGGCTGCTGCTCTGCTCCTTCACGGTCGGCGGCTTCGTCTTCTGGTCGACAACCAAGCTGTGGCTAGCAGACTTCGTGGCGGGCGGACTGCTTGTGAGAGTGGTGACCCGTGGTGGCTGTGGCGAACTATCGCCCAGGCCACACCCTGTTTGGAGACGTTTTGGATCCCTTCGCATGAGGAACAGCCTCTGTGGAAGGCGCCCTATGGATGGTGCAGCGAAGCCGCGTGTCGTCGGCTCAACTCTTTGGCGGATGAGGCTGTCTCTCATGAGCTGGCGCCGTACCGCGCAGCTCTGGCTGCGTGTGAGAAGGATGCTTCTGTCAGGCGGGCCTGGAGTGCCGCTGCCGTCGCTTCGCAGACTGCGGCCACTCAGGAGTACCATGACAAGTTTGTTGAGCTGGTGCGCTCGCTGCCTCCGCGGCCGAGTGGGCGTGGGAGAAGGGCTTCGGCCTGATCCTCTTGCCTTTGGGTGGTGCTCGGCGTCTAGACGGTCTTCGGGCTTCAGTCTGTCGTCTTTTTCGTCTACAGCAACAACTGTTCGGGTATTTTTAAGTACGCTGGAGTATGCTCGACCATGCCATGCTCGAGTACGCTCGAGTATGCGCCGATATGCCCGAGTACGCTGGAGTGGCACTACAATGTATAGCCTACTGTATAGCAGCTATCAGAGAACACAGACCATGAAATTTACCACTATGAAACATACAACCATATATGGTGTATGATATACAATTCACTTGTGTGTAGCATAGACTGTGTAAAATCTGATCTACAATGCATAGTATGCTTATACGGTATGTAAGTATGTAATACTAATTTTCTCACATATTTCAATTACATACGTTAATATATGATACATAATGTAAATCGAAAACAATGAATGAATACATACATACATACATACATACATACATACATACATATATATATATAGACATAGGTATACATGCATATCTATATATATATATCTCTGTGTGTGTGTGTGAAAATGCACTTTATTACATATTATGCTGGAATGCACCAGCATGCATGCGTACATACCTACCTATGTATGTATTGTATGTTTGTATGTTTGCATGTCTGTATGTCTGTATGTTTGTATGTTTGCATGTTTGTATGTATGCATGTACGCACAGTGCGTGCATGCATGCACTCAATCTTACATTCGCATGACTTACCTATTTGAAGCATGCTTCTTCACAGCTGGATGAATGAGCTAAAGAAAACTCCTAGAGAAAGTTCTTTTGTTTAAGCCCAGTGATCTAAAGAAATCCTTTGCTGATACTGCAGCGAGCTGCACATCTCTTGTCCCGAAGGTCCAGTCCAGAGTCTTAGCGTTCTTCAGCTTTTGTTAGCTTGCTTTACTCTGCCCGGGCCCAACCGGAAACGGTACAAGTTATTTTGTTTCGTTGTTTTAGCTCTTTCTAGGTTTGCTTTTGGAGTTTTTTGGTTTGTTTTGTTTTTCCCGAAAACATCGCGAAGGGTTCTTCCGTGCGAAGCCTTTTAGAGAAGTACTTAGGCCCACTTAGGCTCAAGTACACAGAGTACTGGCAGAGTCGAGCGTACAGAGCATAGTATACATCGAGTGAAGTGCATCGAGTCCAGTGCATAGTGAGTCGAGCGTACAGAGCATAGTATACATGGAGTGAAGTGCATCGAGTCCAGTGCATAGTACACGGAGTCAAGTACATCAGAGTGAAGTACATCGAGTGAAGTGCATCGAGTCCAGTGCATAGTACACAGAGTGAAGTACATCAGAGTGAAGTACATCGAGTGAGTGAAGAACATCGAGTGAAGTGCATCGAGTCAATTACATCGAGTCAAGGACTTATCNNATCTCGGTATATCTATCTTTCTTTCTATAGCGGGAACCGGCACCGATGCCATCGATCGGGAATTCAACCCTTTCCGTGGATTGGCGTGGTCGAGCGCGCGAACGCCAGGTAAAGTTGCAACTTTTAGGGTTGACGTGCAACCCTTTGCGTGGATTGCGTGGTCGAAGGCGCGAACGCGAGGTAAAGTTGCATCTTTTTAGCAACATGTCGGCGCATCGCCTAACCCTGGCCATGGATTGGCGTGGTCGAGCGCGCGAACGCGAGGTAAAGTTGCAACTTTTCGGCATGACGCGCAACCCTTTCCATGGATTGGCGTGCGAACGCGCGGTAAAGTTGCAACTTTTCGGCGCCCCGCGCAACCGTTTCCATGGATTGGCGTGGTCGAGCGCGCGAACGCGAGGTAAAGTTGCAATTCTTAGGCGCCCCGCGCAACCGTTTCCATGGATTGGCGTGGTCGAGCGCGCGAACGCGAGGTAAAGTTGTTGCTTTTTGGCAACATGTAGGCGCCCCGCGCAACCTTTTGCGTGGATTGGCGTGGTCGAATGCACGAACGCGAGGTAAAGTTGCTACGTTTTAGCAACATGTAGGCGCCACGCGCAACCCTTTGCGTGGATTGGCGTGGTCGAGCGCGCGAACGCGAGGTAAAGTTGCAACTTTCGGGGTTCCCGCAGGGTTCCCGTGCAACTCTTTGCATGCATTGGCGTGGTCGAGCGCGCGAACGCGAGGTAAAGTTGCTATTTTTGGGGGTCCCGCGCAACCCTTTGCGTGGATTGGCGTGGTCGAGCGCGAACGCGAGGTAAAGTTGCAACTTTTGGGGTACCCGCAGGGTTCCCGCGCAACCTTTTGCGGGGATTGGCGTGGTCGAGTGTACGAACGCGCGGTAAAGTTGCTACTTTT